CTAAATGTCTTTGTTGCACAGTAGATCACTAGCATTGATTTCCACCGCTAGACCAACTTTGCTCTGCTTCAGAAGAACATTGCTAATTTTTGCACTGGTGGCCGGCAGAGGACCTGCCATCCATTGATGATGGCCTGTCGACCACCAATAGGGACCTGCTGGCCACTGATTCCTAAACTTCCCTGTTGCAATAGAGAGCAAATAGAGCATAGATAGTGTATTCTCAAGGGTTTGTTTGCACAATTTACCCCTCTTTATTATGAACAAATCGAAAGAGTAGTAAGCTTGGTTCACAAACCATCAATGGAAACAATTTCATTGCATGATGACCTATGAACCAAAGTGTGCAAGCTCAATAAATGCAACAAAACAAGACTCTCAAAACCACCACCCTATCATGAAAGATCAAGGGAAGTAGTTGACAAAGAATCTTGAACCGTTTTCATCACTAATGAGTATGAAAGACTCAAGACTCAAGGGTTCAATTAACGTCCGATTGAACCCAAACAAGTTATTATCTTGCACTCTTTTTTAGCGTTAATTTTATTACTTCATTTTAGTTTACCAACCATTCTTTATTCAATTGAGTCCAAAGGGGAATTTAGGTCCTCTAATGGAAAGAGGGCTCAAAGCAAGAGTTTCTTTAGGCATGAAAGAGATATCATATCGTTGGTAATGAACCCCCAAAGGGATTAAACCATTAAGCATGACATCTCATGCTTAAACACATAAGTAGTTTGAAACCACTTTCAAAGCAAAGCAAAACAAAAGCTAAGAAAGGAGGGAGGTAGCAGAGGTGATTAAGAGGGATCACAAGTATGGAAAGCCATAAATAAATGCAATCAACTCAAATAAGATGGTGTCTAATGCCTAAAACACCAAACTCATTAGGACAATTATACTATAAGCATGCAAAACAAAGCTCAAATGCAACAAAAACTTACAAACAGTCCTAAAATAGTCTAAAAACAGTACTAAAACATGCTGAAATTAAGACAAAAATAGCTAGATTAATATACTAAAATATGAAGCATACACTAGTAAGCAAAACACAAGGAGGGGAGGTAACCCCTCCAATTTTGGACTTTAAACCATGATTTTAGCCACTGAAATAACTCTAAAAATCAGTGTTTAAAAGCTCGAAAAAAGATAGTGAAGAAATGGGAAACACAAGGGCAAAGGCCTTAAAAGCAAGGTATAAAGAAGGGTGAACCACCCCTCAATCTTTATTGGTCTTAAAACTTAAATTTCATCCCAAAAATACAGAGTTTTTACAATCCAAAAACAATGGGAAAACAGTAGGAATAATAGCAAATAAAACAAAGCAACAAGCAAAGCCTTATAAAGATTGAAGAGAAGACCAATTCTAGGCAACAAATCAAGACAAACTGTAACAACCCCATCGCGTAATACTTTATATTTAATTAACGACAGAGATTTGAATTTTATGGCCTACTATTTTGATTTAATTTGAGAATTATGAAAATTATGGAAACTGATTTGTATACGATTTTATGGGAGATTTATTTTGGAATTAGAACTTGAAAGCCTAAGTGGTTCAAGAAAGAATCATTAGTGAGTTGACTTATTTTAATTTCGTGTATCGGGCCATATGGGGGTGTAATTAAAAAATTTGATTCAAATTTGTAAAATGGAAGTTTGATTAATTGGGTCTGAATTGGACTTAATTACGTTATGAGGAGTGGAATTAAGGTTATTGTGGATTAAATTAATTTATGAGGCATTTAATCTGAGTATATAATTTAATACCAGAGACCTTGAGTTGACCTGAAATTGAGGGCCTTACTGATGTGAGAAATCACAACTGATGATGGGAATAAGCTTAATTTGATATTTGGAGCCTTTTGGGAGTTTGATTAAAAATCTGAGTCGGACGGATAAATTTAAATATAATTAATTGGGCTCTAGTGGAAGTCAAATTAGGTTAATTAAATTATGTGGGACTTATGATTAGTCATGATTTTATGTTGTTGATGTGGAATTGCATGTTTAAGGATGTGCATATTAAGGATTTGAAGTTGTGTCTGTCGGTTATAAGAAATCTGTTGAAATTGTGACCTTTGGACTGAAAATTGAAAGCCTTAAAGGCGCGATAAACTGAAACCGACCACATATTTGTGATCATCATGATTTTTAGAGCCTAGTATTAAGTTTTGTAAAAATCTGATTCAGAATAAATTAAATTGATTTTATTAATAATTTATATTATATATATATATATTTATACAAGCCTCTTGGGCTCAACCTCATTTTGGAGACACTACAAGAAAATACATTTTTGGTGACCACTTTTGTCGACTAATAACATTTTGGTCGCCAAAAGTTGTGGAATTGGCAACAAAAAATTATGTTAGTCGGCAAAAGTACAGTATTTAGCTACTAAAATTTTTTAGTCAGGGTATATTGATTATTGGCGACTAAAAAAAAAATTTAGTCGCTAAAAATGCCACAATTGGCGACTAACAAAAAATTTAGTCACTAAATTTTTCACAATTGGCGACTAAAACATATGTTAGTCGCTGTATAGTTAGTTTTGGCTACTAAAATTATTTAGTCGTTGAATGAGAAACAAAAATTTATTTTTTATCTTTGGCGACCAAAAGTTTCGTCGCCAAATATTTATTTTTAGCGACTAAAACATATTTTAGTCGTTGTATAGTTAGTTTTTCCTACTAAAATTATTTAGTCGCCGAATGAAAAACAAAAATTTAATTTTTATCTTTGGCGACCAAAAAATATTTATTTTTAGCGACTAAAACATATTTTAGTCATTGTATAGTTAGTTTTGCCTACTAAAATTATTTAGTTTCCGAATGAAAAACAAAAATTTACTTTTTATCTTTGGCGACCAAAAGTTTGGTTGCCAAATATTTGTTTTCAGCTACTAAAACATATTTTAGTCGTTGTATAGTTAGTTTTGCCTACTAAAGTTATTTAGTCGCCGAATGAAAAAAAAAATTTACTCTTTATCTTTGGCGACCAAAAATTTGGTAGCCAAATATTTATTTTCAGCGACTAAAACATATTTTAGTCGTTGTATAGTTAGTTTTGCCTGCTAAAATTATTTTGTCGCCGAATGAAAAAACAAAAATTTACTTTTTATCTTTGGCGACCAAAAGTTTGGTCGCCAAATATTTATTTTCAGCGACTAAAACATATTTTAGTCGTTGTATAGTTAGTTTTGCCTACTAAAATTATTTAATCGCCGAATGAAAAATAAAAATTTACTTTTTATCTTTGGCGACCAAAAGTTTGGTCGCAAAATATTTATTTTTAGCGACTAAAACATACTTTAGTTGTTGTATAGTTAGTTTTGCCTACTAAAATTATTTAGTCGCTGAATGAAAAACAATGGCGACCAAACGTTTGGTTGCCAAATATTTATTTTTTGTGACTAAAACAATTTTTAGTCGCCAAAGAACTAAAATATTTGGAGGGAAACATTTCAAATTTTGGAGAGATTTATAAAATATATTTAGTGACTAAAAAATATTTTAGTTGCCAATAACCACATATATATATTCTTCTTTCCTCATTTTTTTTGCCCTAAATTGAATTTGTTTATCTAAAGGAGCTCTCTCTTCCCCATTTATGGGTTATCGATCTCAATCCGTTAAGACGCTCTGTATGTCTTTGCCACCATCACCGACACCACCGGCGGTCTTTGCCTAACAGCTAGGCCAGTAAGAAGAAAAGAGGCATTTATCTATCACTTGAGAATTGATTAAGGCATGAAGATCTTCCTTCATTGATAAAAATCGTATCGATCTTGGTTGAGAAATCAACCTTGGAGTTGAAAGGGTTGGTGTGGCCAAAAGTGAGAACTCCTTCAATCTATTTATCCATCACCCTGCTTTGTCGAAGCCATCCTTCTATATCTCCTACAGACCCAACCCATTGAAGAAAGTATTCATACCTAGATCTCGGTTAGCACATATGACTGTAAGCCTTGTGGTGGTGATACCAGAGAACAACTCATCAATAGCTATAGGCTAGGGCTAGGGCTCCACATCGATTGAGCTCCCTTCGGTTTGACTAATTGATGGTGGGTCCACCGTAGTTCTATGGAAACAAGCCAACCATGCTTGATCTTCTTAGGCTGGGGATTGGAGCTGGTGGAGCCTCCACTGCTGGCTTTTCGGCTTTGTTTACTTCCATTGGAGATGGGCTTGATGTTGCGGCGACCAGTGGCGGAGCCAGGAACTTAAGTTAGAGGGGGCAGTTATTAATTACAATTTGTTATTTAAAAAAAATCATTATGAGCTAAATTAAGATAAGAATAATTTTATGAGCTAAATTTAAGCATAACAAATTAAAAATCATTATTAATAGGAACAAATCAAAATTCTATAATAGTGTGTAATACATCAGTGCGGGATGGTAATATAATTTTGGCACAAAAATTACCAGGCTTCAAAATTCCTATTTTTAGAAAATAAAAACACATCATTTATAACACTAATTATTATAAAATCTATTTAATTTTTATTTGACAAAAAATATTAAAGAGATCTTATTGGTTACAAATGATGTATTTTAAATGGAAATTATTACATAGTTTTCGAGTATCATATGGCATTGACTATGTGATGCTCAAAATATGAGAAATCATAAATTACACTAAATAGTTTGTCAACTACCTCAAATAAATGAGTTAATTATATTCAATCCACAAGATTTCGTATTACGCTATCGGTTTAAACTACTACGTAAATACATTTTGTATATGCCCACACAACAAAAACAAAAAAAATTCGAAATTGGAAACATCTGAAAAAAAATGACTTTATAATATTGAAAACATCTATAAAATTGTAAACATATGTAAAATTTTTAACAACCAAAATTTGGTCGCAGATGTTAAAACGACCCTGTTTTGAATGTTATTTAAGTAAATTTTGATTCAATACCGACCAAACAATTTTGTAGGTAAAAAATTGCCCTATATCGGCCAAGTGAAATTTCGGCCGAGTGAATTTTTCAAACTCTTTATACAGTCACTCCCGCGCACCACTCCTCATACACATCTCATTGTCGATTCTCCTGCTCGATTGTAGTCAACAAAGTCGCTCCTTCTCCGTCATCGCAGTCGCCTGTGTCGCTTTTTCGACCAAGCATCAGCGGCACTTCGAGAAGTACTTGGGCCTCCATTGTTAGGTATGTATTTTCTCTCTCTCTCTCTCTCTCTCTCTCTCTCTCTCTCTCTCTCAATCTTTGTATTTGTGTTCCATTACTCCTTTTACTCACATGGTTGCTCTCTCTTTTCGCACCTAACAGCACCACCATCACCATTTTTCTGCTACTACCAGTTCGCCTATCTTCAAACAACCCCGAGATCAGGTATGGGTCCGTTCTCTCTGTCACTCAATTTCTCTATTATCCTTTGTTTTCCCTAATTTTCAAAATCAATTTTGAAAATTTTCCCTAATTTTCAAAACCTTAATGAGTGAATGTTTAAAGGGATGGCCTCAAATCATACTCTCCAGACAATGAAAAAAATGAAAACTGATATATATATATATATATATATATATATATTGTTGTTTGTTCTGTGTGGATGATGGCAAAGTTGTAACCATCCGAAGGAGAATTTTGGTTGGATGTGTGCCTTAAATTTTGTTGGGGTATGGGGAAAGTTAAAGGAGACATTGTTGATGGACCAGCGTCTGTGTCCATTGATGGTATTGTTAGTGTTGAGCATCACAATTACTCTGTCTGGTGTTTGGAGAGGAGGTAGGATGTAACCTTGTTGAGCCTTGATCTTTACGCTTTGATTCACCTTGGCTTCCACATCGTTCCAAAGAGGGCCGGTGGGTGGAATTGTTGGGGGAGATCTTTTAGGATGGTTAGGGTAGTAATTGAGAATGGCTAAACCATTTGGAGTTGTGCTATTCCGGCTAAACACTTTTGAACTTGCCCAGTAATTTTCTTAAATGGTCTTGATCGGCTTTTATTGAAACAGAGTATTAAAATTATAATCTGATTTTTCAGATTTAATCAGGAAAAGAATATTAAGAATATAATCTGACGTTCTCCGTCTTTCCTGGCTAAAATGCTTCCATTTGTCATTTGATTCTCCTGTATTCTTGTTCAATATCATGGGATTTTATTGAACCTGACTTCTGTGTATTAGAACCTGTTGTTGAATAAGGGATTGAGATCCCCTTGAATGGTTGTTGACTGGTTAATTCTATTCATGGTTTTTATGTTTTTGTGTACAACAAATGGAAGCAGTTCTTCTCTCAAATTTTCATAAATAGTGTGCCTCTTCTAATTTGATAGTTTCTTAGTTTCTTTTCCCCGTGGTAAGCAATAAATTAGATTTTGACATTAACTTTTATAAATGTTATAATTTCTCTGGGGCAGTAACTTGATGGAAACTGTGGCTTGTAATTGACACCTCCAAATTTCAAACTATTAGACCTCTTCCTATTTTTTATTGTTAGAGGTCTTGGTGCATGAATTCTCTCTCTCTCTCTCTCTCTCTCTTTCTCTCTCTCTCACTCACACACACTCAAAGCATCATCTTATTATATATACTCGCAGGAGTTCATTAGCTCACAATGAGGAGGCTAGTGGAACTAGTAATTCCAGTGGAGATGCAGTCAGATGTTTTGAAGGAATAAGTGGGTAGAGAAGTACACGTAACCCCACAAAGAAAATAAATGTTCCCTTCTCCAATGAGACACACGTAACCCAACAATGAAAATAAATGTTCCCTTGTTCATGGTCCGAGCATTTTGGACCCCGTTATTGAAATTGATGAATTCTCTCCTGAAATGAGACACATTGGGTCCCACAATATAGGTAGTGGTAGTGATGATGGCTCAGATGTAGCGCTAGACAAGTTGAAGCAGATGAGATGTTGGCTCGTGAGCTCCAAGAACAATTATATAATGAGGCACTGGGAGTTAGAGATGGCGAAGTTTGTTCCTTTGCTCTACTTCTATTTATTTATTTATTTTTAATTAACTTGTGGTTAGATGCTTTATTACTCTCTCTTTTTTCTTTTATTTTTCTGAATAATTATTACGTACCAACAGATTAATACAGACATATAGCATTGGCATGGCAACAGGAGGACAATGTGTTTTCTAGTGGAAGTCACCCTATTTTCAATCCTGTAAGTAGGGATCTTATATTTTATAGTAGTAACAGTTGTACACAGTAAGTAGGGATCTTTATATTTCAATCCTGTTTTCAAATTGATGACTGTGATACAATTGGTAATTTTCTTCTTTATGTAGTAACAGTTGTACACAAGTATTATAATTAGTTCTATGATTTAGCTGATGCATTATATGATTTTAGTTTATGAGCTTATTTCGAATCATATATTATGCATGAATAGTGCAGATTTTGAGGTGAAAGATTTTTATTTATGTTGCATCTTTGAGTTACTTTACCACAGGTCCATGTTTGAGGACATGGCCACCAATTGTTTGGTTAAATTTCTCAATGCCTATTATCATGTTAAATTTCTCAATGCCTATTACCACAGGTCCATGTTTGAGTTACTTTACAGGTCCATAAGTTTCTCTGGCATGTTCTATTATTACATTAAGTTTCTTAACTCCATGCTTGCCTTTTGGAGTCAAGATTGCCCTTCAAAATATCCACCACATGCACTGTACATATATGGAGTTAAAACCGAAATATGTTAAATAAGTTTATTGATAAATGCTAATAAATCTGGTGATTGTTTTGGTTGATTTTTCTTGGATGGACATTGGTATTAGCTCTTTGCCTTTCCAAGGATATCCACCATTTTATACATCACCTTGAAATCAGATTGCTTTCTCATAGTGTAAACTAACCTCCATCTCTTTGTGTTCCGCTTACATATGTTGTTTAGGATACTGTTGAGATAGCCTCTGTTATCCATGCTATCTACCGTAGTTAATTTCTACTAGTTAATTTACATGTTCAATGCAATTATTGGTTGCTTCTTCATGTGGCTGTACTAATTATTTTAATAATTATTTGATGATCATAATGTATATAAAAAATCATATATCACTCTATTGCAGAGCTTGAGAACACCCCAAATAATTAAAGATTTCCAATATGCTGCCACATTTCATGATCTCAACAAAATAGGAATCCCCGTTTGGCTTGGGCTTGAAAAACCTTTTTTTTTTTTTTTTTTTTTTTTTTTTTTTTTTTTTTTACTAAATAAGCCAAAAAGCAAAAACGCTGAACTCCACCCAAGTGTGGAAATGTTCAAATGTGTTTGGGTTAATTCAGGTATTTGCTGATAGTGCATTAGTGGAGATGACATTGTTGTCTAACTGGCCTTAATGATTTTCTCATGAGTAATGATGATTGTTTCGTTGTTTGTTTCCTTTTATATATATATTTTTTCTACATTTGTTGGTGATTTATGCCGATATTTATATTATTTCTCTGGTTTTACTTGTTGAGTTTGGCTCCTTATCAACCTTGGAGTCAATGTCAGGATAGAATTGGGTCATAGGATACACTACAAGAAATCTAGGCTATTGTGACAAAATTTGGTGACGAAATTTTTTTTTGTCTTAAAATTTAACCCAAAGATGACGAAATATTAATTTTGTCGTTTGTTTTAATTTTTCTCAAAAGTATAGGAGACGAAAACAAAATTTCGCCTGCAAAAATGAGGCGCCAATTTCATTTGCATTGGCGCGAATTATTTTAGATCATTGGAGACGAACATTTTTGTCACAAAATATAATTTTTTTTGTGATGGACGTAATTCGTCGCCAATAAATTTCATACCTATTAAACGATGTCGTTGCATATTTTCATTTATTAGGCGACAAATATATTTTTGTCTGAGAAGGATAAGTTATGGAAGACGAAAATATCTCGTCACCAATAAACATTCCATCATGTAGACAATGTCATTTCATTTTTCTATTAAATAGGCGACAAATATATTTTTGTCTCGGAAGAATAAGTTGTGGGAGACGAAAATATTTCATCACTAATAAATTCTAATTGATTGTGTGACGAATATATTTTTCGTCTCATAAGGTTAAGTTGTGGAATACAAAAATATTTTGTCACCAATAATAAATTCTTTGTTCTGGTATTTAAGGATACAAAAATATTTTATCACTAATCATTTCTCTTTATTAAAATGTCGTGGTTTTGTGTTTCGAAGCATTGAAATTGTGACCCCAAGAGATACACTCTGACGCTTATCACTCATTTTCATGTACATGGACCTTGAAGTCGTGACCCAAGAAGACACTTTCTACAAACCCTCATTTCTCTCTCGCACTTGAGTCTACTCCTCTCTCACAAGTATTGAAGTCATGACTCAAGAAGACACTCTGTAAACCATTTCTTCTATTTCGCGCTAAAGCCCCTCTTTTCTGTCTCACACTTAAGCCCTTCATGCATGCCAGCATTGAAGCTATTATCCAAGAAGGCACCCTATGCAAACCCACTATTCTTTCTCACAGTGACTGTCACGCCCCACTTTTTATTACTCAAAGTATTACCAATTTCATTTACTTAATTCCATTTCAGAGATAACATGCAGAAATAAACTCGTACATTCAACTTGTAGAAGTGAATAACATTGCTCTCATTCGTATGCAAGTAAATACAACATGAGTACACTAAATAAATGTAATGCAAAAAAACATACCATAAGGGTTTTAAAAAAATCAATATATGCAAAGTTAATTTTACCTCAAGATGTAGAACCAAAAAAAAAAAAAAAATTACACAGTTGAGAATAGCAAACTGTTAAGGAGAATAAATATATGAAGGACTTGAGAGCATGCAACTGATATAAATGTTTCCATATCAATGTAGCAATACACATATATCAACAATCGATTAATTTATACACATATACACATATATCAACAATCGATTAATTTATACACATATACACATATAGCAGTTGAGCATGATCTAACAATCGATTTGAGCATGATCTAACAATCAATTTATAGCAAGAGCGTACAGATTTTATACAAGATAGTTAAAAAAATATGTGAGGTGCAAGCTCATAAATGTGATATCAAAAATAGAATAGAATCTGAGGGGATTTTTTTTAAAAAAATAATCTAGTTTAAATTCTTCCCTTTGTTTCATTTGACAAAATCAATAGGAGATATGATAAATGAATGCTCATAACTAAAATGTTCTCCACAATAATATCAAATAGGTTGTCAAATATTACCAATAAGGATGCCAAAATGATACCAACATGCAATCTACCAAGGATACAAATATGCAATCTAGAATATTTAACAATCATAGCTCAAGCATTATGTAGAATACCAAATATTGCTCATAATAGTTTAAACTCAATATAATCTCATGGCGGTAATGTAATTCCAAAAAATGAAGCATGTTCAAGGTATAGCAATCCATATGCCAAGAAAAATCATGAATTTCAATATATAGGACACATTTAAGCATAGGCATGATTCTTATACTACAAAAAATCTAGGCTATTGTGACAAAATTGGGTGACGAAATTTTTTTTTTGTCTTAAAATTTAACCCAAAGATGACGAAATATTAATTTTGTCGTTTGTTTTAATTTTTCTCATAAGTATTGGAGACGAAAACAAATTTCGTCTGCAAAAATGAGGCGCCAATTTCATTTGCATTGGCGCGAATTATTTTAGATCATTGGAGACAAACATTTTTGTCACAAAATATTTTTTTTTTTGTGACGGACGTAATTCGTCGCCAATAAATTTCATACCTATTAAACGATGTCGTTGCATATTTTCATTTATTAGGCGACAAATATATTTTTGTCTGAGAAGGATAAGTTATGGAAGACGAAAATATCTCGTCACTAATAAACATTCCATCATGTAGACAATGTCATTTTATTTTTCTATTAAATAGGCGACAAATATATTTTTGTCTCGGAAGAATAAGTTGTGGGAGACGAAAATATTTCGTCACTAATAAATTCTAATTGATTGCGTGACGAATATATTTTTCGTCTCATAAGGTTAAGTTGTGGAAGGCAAAAATATTTCATCACCAATAATAAATTCTTTGTTCTGGTATTTAAGGATACAAAAATATTTTATCACTAATCATTTCTCTTTATTAAAATGCCGTGGTTTTGTGTTTCGAAGCATTGAAATTGTGACCCCAAGAGATACACTCTGACGCTTATCACTCATTTTCATGTACACGGACCTTGAAATCGTGACCCAAGAAGACACTTTCTACAAACCCTCATTTCTCTCTCGCACTTGAGTCTACTCCTCTCTCATAAGTATTGAAGTCGTGACTCAAGAAGACACTCTGTAAACCATTTCTTCTATTTCGTGCTAAAGCCCCTTTCTTCTGTCTCACACTTAAGCCCTTCATGCATGCCAGCATTGAAGCTATTATCCAAGAAGGCACTCTATGCAAACCCACTATTCTTTCTCACAGTGAAGGCCCTTTTTGCATACAAGCAGTTTTTCTCATTATCTGAACCAATTCTACCATTTCCGTTTAGAACACCCATTTTAGAAAAATCGAAGGTCAAAACCTCTCTCCACAAAAAAAAAAAAAAAAGATAATTAATGTAGCTATTTTTTTTTGTGAGAAAAAATACAGAGAAACAAATAATAAAAAATTTGTAATTTTCAAAATTAATAGGAAACATTACCTTGTTTAGTATGGAGTTTTCAATAATTAATTTTTAAAATTTGGTGATAAAATTTATTTTCGTTTTAGAACGTAACCCAAACATGACCAAATATTACTTTTGTCGTTTCTTTTAATTCTTCTCAAAACTATAGGAGACGAAAAAATAAATTCGTCAGAAAAAAAAAAGGCGCCAATTTTTTTTCTTGTTGGCGCCAATTATTTTAGGTCATTGGAGATGAACATTTTTGTCACAAAATTTAAAGTTTTTTGCGACAAAAGGAATTCGTCACCAATAAATTCCAAACTTATTAGACGATGTTGTTTCATTTTCTTATTTATTTGGTGATAGATATATTTTTTGTCTGGGAATGATAAGTTATGGGAGACGAAAATATTTCGTCACCAATAAACTCTTCATGCTCGTTTTATCTTTCTGTTAATTAGGCGACAAATATATTTTTTTCTCGGAAGGATATGTTTTGGAAGACGAAAATATTTCGCCACTAATAAATTCTCCATGTGATTGATTGCGCGACGAATATATTTTCATCTCATAAGGTTAAGTTGAAGGAGACGAAAATATTTCGTCACCAATAAATTCTCCATCCCCACACAGTGTTGTTTTCGTATTTTTGTTGATTAGGCAACGAACATATGAGTTTGAGACGAAAATATTTTATCACTAATTATTTCTCTTTATTAAAATGTCATCAGAAATTAAGAGACACTCTCACCTTAATCACTTACTTTCACACACACACAAATACTAAAGTCGTGACCCGAAAAGGCACCCTCTACAAACCCTCATTTCTCTCTCGCACTTGAGCGTCATCTCTCACAAGTATTGAAGCTATGACTCGAGAAAACAATCTCTATAAACCATCTCTTCTGTTTCGCACTAAAGCTCCTCT